CAGTGGTTTGATAAGTTTTCATGGGCTCTTCTACTTCTTGGTTTTCACCAAGCTAAATCTGACTATTCCTTGTTTACTAAAGGTTATGGTGACACTTTTGTTGCTCTTTTAGTTTATGTGAATGATATTATCATTGTTGGACCTTCTACTTCTATTATCGACTCTTTGAACCTTAATATTGCTTTTTGGTTGAAGGACTTGTGCTGTTTGAAGTATTTTGGGAAAATTGGGCTGAGTAGCCTTTCTGAAAGGGCTATTATGAAATGTAGCCCCTTTCCTCATTTTTATGTTTTGTAAACATTTGCTGACATCCAATAATCCAAATGACCATGATGCCGCTCTACTACTTATTAAAATTTTTACTTTCCCTCCCTCTTTTTCATTTGAATATGATTTTCTCTCTTCTTCTCTTTCTTCATCTTCTTCTCTCCCTCATCTCTCTTGGTGTTCCTCATCTCTCTTCGTGTTCCTCATCTCTCTTCCCTCTCCCTCAAACTTTCTCTATCTTCAACCAAGAAATGAAAGAAACCGCCTCGCTTTTTCCACCATTCGAATAACATCGCAAGCGTAAAGTAGATATTGTGGTTTTTTCCTCTCGCTTTTTCCATTTTTTTCTACAGTCATTCCTCATTTGATTTTTATTCAATTTTTTGTTTCCCAAAAAAATCAGAAACGCGTTTACACAAGAGTAGGTCCATTCGGTTATGTCTCAGAAAATCATACACGCATATGCATAAGTTTTAAGAGGAGATTTGAAAATAAGGACAGAGAAAGTTGTGGCTCGCTCTAACTATAGCTCTAGCTCTAGCGAAATTATAAAGTTGCTATACCTAGAGCTATAGCCAGAGTGATATTGATAGAGAACAATAACTAATGGTACTCTAAGGAGACGAAGGGATAGAGTAAGAGCGAGAGCCAGACGATAAAAAGCTCCAGAAAGAGAATACGACCTAGAACTATAGCCACATCTGTATTTTTATGGATATGGAATTTCAAATTACACTAGAGATAGAAAATTAAGACATACATTCAAGAAACAGAATTATCAAAGTAAATTCACATAATCGGCCTTTGTGATAGGCTATTCAGAGCAAAAACCCAACAAAATCCTGGGTCGAAGCAACAAAAAAGAAACATAGATCGAACAGCTACGGCGACTATTCCCCCAGATAACGTAAGGCGGCCTTCAATGCTGCCAACCTATCTTGTAGTTGTTGGTTCTCTTCCTCCAACTTCTCTACCGTTGCATGATATTTCCTTGCCATCATTTCCAACATATGACATCTACTTTCTAACTTGAAGACCATATTCCTTGTTTTCCTATGGTTTCTCTTCTCTTCTTGCAACTGGACCACCTTGTCTTCGAATGTTTCATCCGGCTCCGCCATAGTGAAATTCACTGCAGTGCCGTCCTCAGACATTTTTTCTATTTCGAAATTTCTTGCGGACAGTAAAAATGGGTAAATGAGATGAAACCGAAATGCAAATGTATGTGTTATATATATAAAGCGTTTTCGGGTGTGTAGGTAAGCATTAATATGCATTGAATTGTGTAGGTAAGCATTAATTGAGTGTAATTGCGTTCAACATCTTCTTAGCTCATTTAATGGGTATGCGCAGTGCTAGTCCATGGACATGTGTGGAGACAAACGATAACTAGAGCGATATACGCTAGAAAGAACGAGATCAATACAAAAGGTCAGTTTGAATGACCGACGAGAGCGATTGCCAGAGCGAGAGCTTGATTAAAAGTTTTTATTTTTATGGAAGTCCTATACATTGAACGAGAGCGATTGCCAAAGCGAGAGTTTGATTAAAAAGTTTATATTTTTTTGTAAAGTGCGACACACTGAACGAGAGTGCGGGCGAGAGTGAGAGCGTGAGGCAGCATGCCTGGGTGTTCAGTTCGTTTCTGCTTTGGGTAGTTGTACGGTTTTGCAAACGTTGCAAGCATGGGGACAATATCGAGGATGATAATCAGAGCGACAACCAGATGTAACATTTTTGGTGTCTTTTTTGTTTTTTATTTTCCAACATTTCAAATTTTTTTTTGCAAGTTGCTCTTGATGATGTATAGACCGATTCCGTAGACATCTATTAACCAATCTGTCGAGGTGCGACTCAAACCTCCAAACTCTAGTCGGATAAGAATTGGTGGTTCACCGAAAACCCGTTCTCCCTTCATTGGTAGGACCGACATTACTATACATACATTCGTTACCAAGTTGAATAGATAGGACGAGAAATATAAAGGGCCATGCAATAAATTCTTACGAGTTATTATATTAGATTGTTCGTGAAACATACAAAGCAACTACAAAGAACTACAAGCCTACGTTAGTACACTCGTTCCTTTATATGGAGTGCTCCAACGCAGAAATCCGTGACCGAAGATTGGCTACTTCCTCTTCCAGACGTATTCTAGCCTCCTGCTCCTCCCTTAGCATCCTTTGTAGTATATCCCCTGTCCTCTCCGCCATACTCAACCTGTATCTTTTGTTGTTGACCTCGTGCTTCGTTATGCGAAGCTGTCCCTTGAGGTCCTCGATTTCCTCACTAGCCTGTTCATGTGTAGCTTGTGTTGCCTTCAGAAGTTGATTTTCACCCACAGACGATCGACAGCTTGGCTCATTGGACGACATGATGGTGCTCAGGAGGGTTCCTTCTAAATGCTATCTTCGTTGTCTCTCTGGTTCCATGCTTATTTAACGTTATATAACCATCAATGAGTGGGTGTGACGGTTGGCTACTGCTCATTCATTGGGTATCTGAGACGTCACAGTTGTGTTGGAAAGAGGAGGCGCCTGTGAATGGACGAGAAAAGATAGTGAGAGCGATATCGCTGATGGCCGGAAGGGGCGGAGAGTGTTTCTCTCTACGAATAGCGATGTTGATAACGAGAGCGAGAGCGTTAACCATTTTGTTGTTGTGATAATATACTGACTCAGCACCTCCATATGCATCGTGTGCCTATTTTGTACGAAACAGTCAAATCTCGTACAGGCAATGATGATATACAATTAATGTCAAACTGCTGCGTTCAATGTCATCATTAAAATAATATTATTCATATGGT